AAATCTCAAATAAAATATAATTAAGTTTAATGGCGCCATAATATTTATTGTCACTTTTTAACTGTAAAGATGAACACATCTGCAGCATAATTTTGTGAATCTGAGATTCTCTTATTGCAACTACACATTAACATCATATACGAGATTTCCTCTATGTGAAATCATTCCTAAATATACCTCTGCCATTCATTATTGAAAAAAATTTTCAAAATGTCAGGACAGCTTTTATAATCTTTATCTAAGAAATATTTTTTTAAAGGTTTATAAAATTTTAAAATTCTATCGATGGCAGATATTAGGAACATATCGCAACCAACATTGTGCTGACTCAATTCTGTAAATACACTCTGCTTTTACCAAATTCACTGAGGCATTATCAAATAGAAAGCTGACATGCAATTTATAATCTCGAATCTGTTATATTTACCATTTTATGGTTAGCTATGTCTTTGGATTTTTTACTATTTGAGGGGAAAAAATTTAATAGTTTTATTGAAACGACCTTAATTTTGTTGAAATAGTGGAGGATCAAGGGAAATAAATATTTAGCTTATGCATCTGTTAGAATTGCATATGTATGCCCATCTTTCAAATAGTCAAGAATTGACTTCCTGGATTTAGGTCCTAAAACATTAATGATAGCCTTGCTCATTTTTGTTCTACCAGTATAGTTTTCATTTATATTAGAGTCGTTAAATATTATGAGGAAAAGATTCTAAAGTATCTCTGCGAATGTTGTACTACAATATAACTGATTACAATTGCCGCAACTGTAGTTGCATCTGTATTATTTCTTATTTTTGGAGTACCTTATTATGTATTTAGTGATACGTGATAATTAAGCGCCTATCCCTATAATGTTATACACACACACCGTAGATTTCCAATTGCGGTCGTTTTGCGGGGCATTCGCTAAAAATATATTTTTAATTGTAAAATTTAGTGTTGTTAATTAGTCGAGTTCTTTCGACTACGACTAATAGCCATAGTCATGGAAATCGACTAAAAACTTTAGCGACTAAATTAGTCTATCGACTAAAACGACTAATATAGTCGACTAAAGCGACTAAATTACTCGACTAAAGCGACTAAATTAGTCGACTAAAACGACTAAATTAGTCGACTAAAACGACTAATATAGTCGAGACTAATATAGTCGACTAAAAAGACTAATATAGACGACTAAAAAGACTAATATAGTCGACTAAAAAGACTAATATAGTTGACTAAAACAACTAATTTAGTCGACTAAGTTGATCTATTTAGTCAGCGTATAAGTAAAAATATATATTGTAAACAAATTAAGTTAAAATTTATGTGAAGATTTACCATAGAAAAGTGACAATTGTCATAATCGTTAATGATCATTTTTAACTTATTTCTTCATTGTTTATTATATTTTCTATCAAATTTACCTTTCTTATATTAAAGTTTCGAAAATGACTTGTGAAATCTTTATTTAGTGTATATTTTATTTACATAATAAAAGATCAAAAAATATTTATTTTTCTATTTGTATTGCACATAATATAACAAAAAATATCTCTATATTATATAATAATCTAGTGTAATAATTTATTAAATTCCTTGTTCAAAGGAATAGATCGGATTCCCTTTTCGATATATCGTATCGTATGTGAATAGAAGGCTGTGAAATTGAAATTAATGAAATTAAGTAATAGGCTAGTAATTGTCTCAATTATATGAATTCTGTTATTGGGTTTGGGATATATAGAACGATACTGATTTTTCAAAACGCCAAAAAAATTCTCAAGGGGTTTAATTGAGGGGAATAGGGTGGAAGATATACTATATTTTGATAGTTTTCTGTTATTATATGAGCTCGGTAAATGGGCGCATTATCCATTATTATTAGCGAATTCAACGGTAAAATGTATGATAATTTATCCAAGTAAGTTTTGAATTTTATAGTGAAATGCCCCGTCTATAATCATGTATTTTTTGAAACCATTAATTCACTTGGTGCATTAAACCGATACGTTTTTCCCCTTTGAAGGAGGGAGTTTGACGGATAGCCTCTTACCCAGAGGTACCCATCCATAGTGGGAAATGACGTGGGAATTGAAGCCTGTTTCATCTAAATAGAATATATTTTGAAATGACACGTTCATCATATTTAGGCAGTATTCTTTACCAATATTTATAACAACTGGGGAATTCCGTCTATCGGGTTCTTTTCCAACCCCTTTCCTGCTCCATCCCATTGATTTAAGGTATATAGATATTCCCGAATCACTCATTTTGAGATGAGGTGGTAAATTTTCCACTATATTTTATTTATCGTTAATCCATTATTATGTTCTAGTAGCTGTATAATTTTAGATTTTAATTCTGAATCATCCTTTTTATTTTTTCCTCTTTGATGGATTATGCAATCGGCCAAGGGGGCACGGTAGTATTCGGGGAATGGTACATCTTCACTGAAATTTTATTTTAACATCTTTACAATATATAATTTTTACCTATATACTTTAAAAAAATTTAAAAAAGTTATAAAATAACGATTATGACAATTGTCACTTTTCTATGGTACATCTTCACTGAAATTTTATTTTAACATCTTTACAATATATATTTTTACCTATTTACAATGTATATTTTTACCTATTTACTTTAAAAAATTCAAAAAAGTTAAAAAATAATGATTATGACAATTGTCACTTTTCTATGGTACATCTTCACTGAAATTTATTTTAACATCTTTACAATATATATTTTTTCCTATTTACTTTAAAAAAAGTTAAAAAATAACGATTATGAAAATTGTCACTTTTCTATGGTACATCTTCACTGAAATTTTATTTTAACATCTTTACAATATATATTTTTACCTATTTACTTTAAAAAAATTCAAAAAAGTTAAAAAAATAACGATTATGACAATTGTCACTTTTCTATGGTACATTTTCTGAAATTTTATTTTAACATCTTTACAATATATATTTTTACCTTTTTACTTTAAAAAAATTCAAAAAAGTTAAAAAATAACGATTATGACAATTGTCACTTTTCTATGATACATCTTCACTGAAATTTTATTTTAACATCTTTACAATATATATTTTTACCTATTTACTTTAAAAAAATTCAGTTAAAAAATAACTATTATGATAATTGTCACTATTTTTACCTATTTACTTTAAAAAAATTCAAAAATGTTAAAAAATAACGATTATACAATTGTCACTTTTCTATGGTACATCTTCACTGAAATTTTATTTTAACATCTTTACAATATATATTTTTACCTATTATAAAGTTAAAAAATAACGATTATGGCAATTGTCACTTTTCTATGGTAAATCTTCACTGAAATTTTATTTCAACATCTTTACAATATATATTTTTACCTATTTACTGAAATTTTATTTTAACATCTTTACAATATATATTTTTACCTTTTTACTTCAAAAAAATTCAAAAAAGTTAAAAAATAACGATTATGACAATTGTCACTTTTCTATGGTACATCTTCACTGAAATTTTATTTTAACACATTTACAATATATATTTTTACCTATTTACTCTTCAAAAATAATGATGTTTAATTTATGATATAAAAATAAAAATAAGAAAAAAGAATATAGTTAAAATTTTATCATAGAGTATCGCCATCAGAGGTGATACTTTTAAATGATATATGAAAAATTAAATTTCCATAATTATATATGGACAATTAATATTACATGGAAAGTTGTGTATTTAATTTATTTTAATTACTTTTCCTCAAAAAGATTACTTTTCTTGAATTATTTTTAAAGTCGAAATATAAAATATAACATTTTTGGATGATAATCAGATATGGTTAATCTAAACCTTCATGAATCAACAAAAGTACATAACATTTTAACTACTACAATTACTTTATAATGTAAATTTTTCTTGATTTTTAAAATTTAAATGTTAAACCAAAACCTTTTTGATGATATTTTGCTATGGCTGATCTAAACCTTCATGATTAATCAACATAAGTACATCACATTAAAATTTTTATAATAGCTTTAAAAATATAAATAAAGCTTAGTTTTTTTTCGCTAGGTAGAAGCAAATATATATTTACAAAATAATCTATATTTAGATCCATCAGAAAATGAGGTTTAATTTATATTTTAATTCACTTTCACAATAATTCGTCCTCTGGCACAGCTTTATCTTCATATCATTCTAACTTCATCCCTATTATTATATAAAAAACTATATAATTATATCAAATAATAGAACAGAAGATATATTTATATTTATAAAATCAAAATTTTTTTCCCACCTTTCCAATATTTTAGTTTATATTTTCTTTAGATTATTTGCTAATCTAATGCAATTATTTTCTTTATTTTTAGGATGGTCATTCCTTAACATCCTTATGATTCTGCAAGTATTGAGGTATATTTCATAATTAGTCAAAGAGTAAGATGACGCATAAATCAGCATATAAACGAACTAAAGATCATGATAAAAAGAAATACTCTCATCTCGACAAAATAGATATTCGTTATTATATATGCATATAAACATATAAACTAAAAAAAACTACATGTTTCTTTGTCCAATGGTTGGGGCCACAACCATGGGAAACGATAGGGAAGGGGGAGGGATCGATTGGGTTCGATGGTTCAGGATTGTAGGAGAGTGGGACCGGGGGACCAGATTTTGCGGGCATTTTGGTCATCGTACAAAGCACTAATCGTGCGTAATCGTTGTTTAGTATGTAGTAAAGAACATATTTTAACTCACGAAGTCCATATAGGAAAATTAGACTTTATTCAATTAAAAATTTTCGTCCAAGCTTAAATCCAAAAGAATAAAAAAATTCATTCCAATTATGTGCAATCAAATTTGACAAAAAAATGCATAATATGATCCCGATTACATTTTTTACACCTCTTATACACTTAAAAATTCGTTGACAACAACTTTTGTTCTTGTACTCAAAAAAAATAACGAATGAAGTATTTTTATGATTTTATAAATATTGACCATCCTTAAAACTGGCTAGGACCATCTTCAAGTAATAAAATATAATAACAAGGCTTTATAATTTACAATATCGTGTAAAAAAAGGAAAGAAATATGATCGACAAAGGGGATAAAATATGACAAACAATGTGGAGAGGCTTTGAAAGAAGTGCTATTAAAAAAGATTTTTACGTGAAGGAAATATCATAACAAAGTATTGTAAAGTTGTATAAAAAAGAATATATAAAACAAAACAATGGATTTAGATTAAACACAACACTTTGGATGAAACAATTTTTTTATAATGTTATCTCTTATATTTTAGATCTCCCACTGGTGTATCAAATCAATATCGACCAGATATCCCACCGGAGTATTCATCACACCGAATTATCAAATCGACAGATATCCCAATCTTGATCTCCCACTGGAGTATCAATCCCGATGGATCTCCACCGGAGTATCGTTATCAAGTCCATTGTATTGGTAGACATTGAGCTTGAGCGGCCCCTGAGGTCACCATCATCCCATCATCCTAGCGCTGGCCAAGAAATCGTTATCATTTGACCCACGAATTCAGCTGGCCGTCTTTTTTGGTTTATTGGACAAGTATCGTAGAACCCGGCTGTCCAAGCCTGTCAGTGACCTAGGTGGCATTTCTCGGCTCAGAAATTTATCATATCATGTGTCTAAAGCCATCCGTTATCGAAGAAAAACCGAAATTTTTTAGTTCCTTTCCAGGATTGAACCTGGGACCTTCGGTTTACAAGCATGCATCACACACCACTGGACCATACTTTGGCCTCGATAGCGATACACCGGTGATCGATACAAATGAAATCTATCAGAAATACAAATATAAATTAGATAAAAATTGATAGCATGAGTAATAATAAAGTGGAGATAGATAGTGAAGGAGCTTACCACCAGAAAAGGTGAAAGCTAAAAGGAAAAAAAAACTCTTATATTTTAGATTACATCTTTTCTAGATCCTCCGCTAATATGTAATGTTAGAACCTCATTTAATATTGAACTGCGTCTGATATTAAATCCTACCAAGTTTAGTTGATTATTTTATTTAAGTTTTTATTTCTTTAATTTTCTATCCTACCTTTTTTTGAAGTTTGGCAATTGGTCTCCTCGAAGGAAAAACTATATATGGTTCACTATTTTTATTATTAAAATCGGATCGAAAGAACAATGCATACATAGTTTGATATTTTTATTATTCAAATAAAATTAAATATCTATTAAGGATCCTCCCTTTTTAAAGCTTACCAATTGGTATAACCCCCCACAATATTCCCCACTATTTTATTTTGCACAAATCAAGAAAGGACGATACATGATATGCTATATTTATTATTTAAATAATATTCTTTATCTATTCTTAAGGATCCTACCTTATACAGTGAAGAGGGGGATATTTTTCACCAGATGTTAAAACAAAATAAAAGGATACTATTATATTTTTATTTTAATCATACTTAAACATTAATCTATGTTAAAAAAATTTTAAACAACTTTTTTTAAAAAAAAAACTTTTTAAAAAAAACATATTTTTTTCACATATCATTTACGTAATTTAATATTTTTGTATATTTAATTTAATATTAATTAATTTTTCAATCTTATAATGTTTAATATAGACCACATTCTTTATAATACATCTCCTTTACTCTCAAGTACTTCTGTAAATTATTCTTTGCCAATCTCAGATGGGAATGATATGGAAAATTATCAATCACAGTCTAATATTTCTGCAAATAATAATTCTTTAGCAACTATTAATGAAAATATAAATCATTCTCAAATATCATCCATTCCTAAACCCAAAAGAACATACAATTGTTGGAACAAAGATAAAATTGAAATGGTAATGAAAATATTAGCAATGCCAGAGGAAGAACAGATGAAGGTTAAGGACATTGCTAAATTTGTTAATATGTCGAAGGCATCAATACATAAAATAAAGCGGGATACATTTCCAGAAATTATTGGTGAGCCCCTAAAGGAATTCTCGCTTAAACAAAGGGGGAGAAAAATTAAAGACACAGCAAATATTGAAAGGCAAATTATGGATTTGCTAATCGACAATAATACCTTCACGGTGAAGGATATAATTGAGAATTTGCCCTCTGGTTCTCCAAAAAATATTGGAACTATAAGGAAATATATTATAAAAACATCCGATGGTCCAAAAAAAGAGCTGGGAATGAACCAGATCGCAGGAATACACCAGGAGCTATCAATATTTGACAGGTGTATTGCCGCAAATTGCTGAACATCTCCAGAGAAAGACTCTATTTTCTCGACGAAACAGGCATCAATTTTCATGTTGTACCTGTCTATGCTTGGGCACCACTCAACGTTAGACCATCAATAAAGGTGCCACCCTCAAAAGGGAAAAATGTAAGTGTACTTTGCACTATAGGAATTTGTGGAGTTATACATTATAAAATCATCGAAGGATCATATAATGGTATGTTATTCCGAAATTCATTAATGGATATTATTAGTATATTACCACCAGATGCCATATTAGTTATGGACAATGCGTCAATACATAAAAGTCATCTAATTGATGACTATAAAGAGAGAATTGAATATCTTCCCCCATACTCACCACAATTAAACCCAATTGAAAATTTTTTCGGGGTTTTCAAAAACAAGTACAGGTCATTAATTCCCAGACCAAGTACAAGGGAACATATAATAAATAATATTAATCAAATAATGAATCAATTTATTCCATATGATTTTACAAATTTCTATAATCATATGCAACATTATTTGGGAGCTGGGCTATCGTGGACTACCTCTTGACTAAAGTAATCTAATTATATAATAAATTACGATTAACATTTTTTAATATTTATAGGTACTACTTAAGCAAGCAATTTATGACTATGAACTATCATTAAATATTTCATATTTTATTAATTAATATTCATGTATTAGTGTAATTACGAATATATTTCTTATTATATATAATTATATGTATTACATATACGAATTGAATAAAATATTAAATTAAAGTTATGTCTCAAATATGATAAAATAAAGTGAGAGAAAAAAACTATTTTAAGAAATAAAAGATTCTGACTAAGATCTTACAACTTAAATGAATAATTTATCATTATATTTAAAATTATTCTACATAAAATATCGTTAACTAAGTAAAAGAAAATATGTGATGACAAAACTTTTTATATTTTTTTATAAAAATTTTTTTTTATGTAAGTGTGACATTTAAAAAAGTTGTTTAATATTTTTTTAACATAGATTAATGTTTAAGTATGATTAAAATAAAAATATAATAGTATCATTTTATTTTGTTTTAACATCTGGTAAAAAATATCCCCTCTTTCACTGTAAAAGCTTGCCAAATCATTTCCCCGAACAATATTCGTCTTTATTCGCATTTACTTATTATTTTGCATATTGTTAGCAAATATTTGTTTTTATATCTCATTGTTCCTGCTCAATAAAATTAGCTATTGAAAATAAACTCATTTATATTATGGCGATAAATAAATTAATAATATTTTTTAAATTTACCTCCTCAGCCCCATATCTATATTATATTTTTGTTATATTTTTTTTTATGCAATTAAAATAATATTTTAAAAACACATTAATTACTAGAAATAAAATTAATATTAAAATTAACATATCAAATATAAAATAAAATAAAACAATATTATATAAAAACGGAGGTGGGACTACAAGTTCCCAAAAAACATGAGTAATTATATTTTAAAATAGTGATTTGTAGGTTTTGTTTTAAAAAATAGAATTCTTTTGGTTCTCTAGTAATTATGTGTTTTAAAATATTATTTTAATTGCATAAAAAAAATATATAATGATTTGTGATTCATCACCACTTGTTATACACCACTATTTGTGATTAATGATTATTTCTGATTCCGTGCTATTATCCAGGTTACACTCCCTCCGGAATTAAGAATTATTTGTCAATGTCACCATTACCCAGCTGAAAAGTCGAAAACGTATCCCAATAATAAAATTCGCATTCATGATGTCTCATTTATTGACATTATGTTGATTTTGGGGATTTTTAGGGTCATCCTCAGCCTCGTTATGATCCTCGGTCCTCGATAAAATGTCCTAACGCTGTAAAAGTTTAAGGCATGAGAATCGAACGATACTAATGTCGGCGATTATAGGTAGAAATGAGTAGTTATTAGGTAGCGTTAACAAATATTTGGCGAGTTTTTTTAACTCAGCCTCCGTGAAGCTTCATGAAACAGGTTGGGAATGAACCAATTAATATTTAATACTTTGCAAGTTTTAAATGATACTTAAAGAGACAAAATGCGATATATATGCCCAACCAATTCAATCAGTCAAATTATTAGCCTAGATGCATAAATTAAAATAGTTGGTTTTGAGAATTGGAGAACAAGAACAATTGTAATCATTTGGAATTAAATAGTTAAGAAATCGATTGCTAAAACAATTTAAATGGAATATCAATATAACCATTATTAATTATAGCTTTTAATATATTTTGGAAAATAACTCTCCTAATAATAAATGTAACATAAACGTAATAGATAAAAATGAATTCACTTTTACAACTTAAAAGCAACTTGAAATACCAAGAGAATTTATCAAGTAAAACGGCACTACAATTATTTTTTTTCTTTTTTGACTCCACATCAAAACATGAATCCTGAAATTGGCCAATTCTCTAAAAAAAAATTTTAGACAATTTTTAATAGAATGGTATCAGGTCGTCCAGAGAGATTGCACTAATCTTACATTTTTTTTACCTTTTAATTATTATAATATTTAAATCAAAGACTTTTTAATAATTATTTTTGTTTTAAATTGATATTAAAATGTATATTTTTAGGAATTTTTTTGGATCTGCCTCTTTCAGAAATATAAACATTATTTGTAGTTCCCCAGTTCATATTTTAATCCATTAAACCACGCCTAAATACCGTGCCTTTTTATTTTTTTTACAGAACAATGACAATATAATATGAATACATTTCATTATTAATTAACGATTCTTAAAGTTTTGAAATAAATAAAAAATATTTGAAATACTTTGATGAAATTTGAGATATTATTTGATAGAAAAATAACTATTCAAGAATAATTTATATTTAGAATCGGGCTCTCATCATTCTTTGATTCTATTTTTACAGGTAAAAATTAACCAAAATTTACATTTCTATTAAAATTTTATAAGTACATACATTACCAATCTCTTCAATGTGAGGTGAGGGTACCTTTTAAAAAATGAATTAAAAAAAATTCAATTGATATTTTTTATATTGAATTTCTTTTATATGAATTTATTGGATGTTTTATGAAATAAAATAATTAAAAAAATATTTTTTAAAAATCAATCGAAATATAACTATAAATATATTAGTTAAAATTTTAGGTATATATAAATCTAATCTATGTTAATAGGGTTGATGTTAGACCGTAAAGCAATCTATAAAAAATATTGCCTCGCTGACCCCCTTTATCTCCAATCTATTTTTAAATGAAAACCTAAAAAAGGGAGGGGAAAAAATTGGTATAATGTGTCAATTTATTAGGCAATTCTTTAATTTTATTCTTGGTAAAAAATATCTTACTTATATATAATCGAAATTTCTTAGAAATATGTAGATACAAGGAGATATTCGCAAAGTGAAACATTTGTGCAAATAATTACAATAGGAATTTAGATTTATTAATATTACGTTTTCATTATCAAAGATTAGTCAATTTTATGTTTACGTTCGATTTTATTTATTAGTATTTACTATTTTGTTTGCGTGGTTTTAAAATAAATAATAAATATTAAAATATATTAGATAATATAAGAGAAGCCTTTGATATTACCTTTGCCATATTAGGTCATCAGCTCTATATTTATATTTATTATTATTATTATTATTTATTGATTAAAATTGATAGTAATATTTTATTGATTGAATATAAATTTTGTGTAAAGTTTTAAACTTTAATAGTAATAATATTGCTATTTTAAATATACTTATGTTGAAAATCACTAGATTTGAATTAACTATAAACTATCCTAATGAAAGTAAGCAGTAATATTTTGTGAAAAATATAAAGGTAAAACAAGATTTTTGTTAGAAAGAAGTAGATGAAAAAAGTTAAATTTCGGTTCTTCATTATCAAGGTCTAACACATGTTAAAGGAAATAAATTTATAAAAAAATGCAAAAATTAGAAGAAAATGTGGTGATAAAAATTGCTCTTAGCCTCGTTGATGAATTCAAATAGCTAAAAAATTAACTTGAGTTCAGATGAAATGGGTGAAGTGATAAAATAAAATGGCACGTATATTTTACAAATGTTATTGGATTCGAAAATTCTAGTAGAAAAAATCATTATTCAATGTATTCAGAGACTTGCAGGCCTGGTCTAATTCTTTTTAAACATATCCGGGCCGAGCCTATAAATTTTTTTTAAAAAATACCCGGATTAATTAGCTGGCTTATGAAATTGCCAATATTATTTGGTACTTTTATATAAAATCGACTCATGATTTTAAAATTATTATGCTGGATTCTAACATAATTTATTTCTACTTGGAATTGCTTGAAAAGCGTAAAAAGATATTATTATTAATGTTAAAATTGCAAAAGGTAAATTATAGAAGTGAATTTTTTTAAAGGTCTGATGAAAGCTAACGAAATTTAAAAATTAATGAAAACAGCTGTTTTCTTTATTTTTTATAAACAAAAATTTAAGAAATAACAGAAAAAAAATAATTAAATAAAATAAATAATTGGTATAAGAATTTAAAAAATCATAGATGAGATATGAAATTAGGATGAGAGTGTTATTTAAAAAAAATAACATTTGTTAGATCAAGAAAAGAGAATCTGTTTTTTATTTTTTTACTGAAAGCAAGAAAATGAAAAATATCGTTTGGATTTTTTAGTTTTTAGTAAACTTTATCAAAATATTAATTTCATATTTTTTTTAGTATTATAAACATTTGACGTTAATAATACAATAATATCGATATCAAAATCAATCAATAACTAAAAAAATATATTAAAAAAATTACAAAGAAAAAACAAGATAAAATTACATTTGGCCTTTAAAAATTTTTTTCATAATAAAGATATTATTTAATTCGGCATACAAAAATATTATTCCAAGGGATAATTTTATTTTAACAGGTAAATTAGAAATATCTTGTTTTTTTAAATATTTTATTAATTTTTTTTTGAATTTTCTTCGATTATATTTTACTAAACAGGTATGTCGTTATCCACCAATTATATAAAATCACTTTGGACCGATTTTTAAAAACGGCTAGCTCAATATTTTAACCAGAAAAATATTGCCTAAGCCTAGAAATTTCGTTGTCGAACCCTTGTGTATGAATTTTTGGATAAAATACTGCTGGTTTTTTTTAAAAATCGGCTCAAATGTTATGACTTTTATAGCTGAATTTTTATAATATCTTGTAATGTGAATCCAGTTTTTAATATTTACTTAATTAATCTTTAAAGAATATTGAATTGCATTCATTCTAAAACTAATTAATCATTTCTGAGTTTGAATATAATGTCGGTTTAGCAAATTTAGGTTATTTAGTAAATCTTTAAAACATAAATATTTATACCTCGTTTTTTAAATTTTGAAAGACTTGATAAGATTAGAATATATAGAGTGCCTACTATTAATTTATATTAATAAAATTCACAGGGCAGGCAGATACTTGCTGTATTACGAATCCAACAAAATCGTCTTAAATTATAAAACGCGTTTTGAGTTTTTAAAATTTGCAAAATACCATTTAATTTTTATTACGAAGGTTGTGTTCTTGAATCTTTTATCTAATTTTAAACTTTATTATTATTTCCTGTAAATTTTACACTAAATATAGTAAGATATTAAATTTATGAATGATTATATCATTCTGCTATATTTATATTCTATATTTATATTTTTTGGGTTGATATTGATTACAATCAATTAGTTGAGATCAAATTTTCAACTATATTATACTTTGAAACGATATTTAATTTTTTTTCAATAATAATATGCCTGATAAATCTAGATAATAGGAAAATGATTTTTGACTACTTAATAAAAATGGCTTTTATTTTTTTGGAATATGACAATAACCGGCTTAAAAAATCCCGGAACTAGATTGAAAGACATATGGCGGGGAAATAAATTTTCTTTTAAAATAAATTGGTGTTTTTTATGCTTGATATATGCCTTATTGGTTTTATTTTTGCTCTGCCTTTTTGTCCAGTTTATTGTTTCCTGAAAGTTTTTGATAATGCACTTTTTTCAAAATTACAGAGCTAATATATATTTTTTTCATCATATATCCATAACTCTTTATCTGATAAGAATTGGCTTGACCGAAAGTATTGGCCGGTCAAGCACTCTAAAACAACTTTATTTATATCATTAAATATATCACATAATTATTTTCATGAGTGATAGATTGAAATAACATCGTAAACGGCTGTATATTGTGTATGTAATTTAGGGCCGTAGCCAAGAAATTCTTGCTGGGGGGCAACCGCTTACTTACGGGGGCTAATATATTTTTAAATAAAACATAGTTAGGCTAAGATTTTTATTTTTAAATTTTATCATAAATGAATTAAATGCTAAATTCTGTGATTTTTTTTTCCAATTATTAAAATACTTAATTTTATTTACGTCGATCTTTACTGATTGCTCTCTAAATTAATTGGGTAGTGGAAATTTTTTATTTTAATTAAGTTATCCGCACATGTATGCTAGTAACAAATCTTTTTTTTATTTTGATCGACAATATTTTTTACTTTGAAGATGAGCTCTAAATTATATACATAGTCCTGAATATTCACTTTCTTTGACGAATTCTGGAATATGGAATTGACTAGATGTGACTAGATGTTGATGTTTCTTCGTTTTTCTTTAGAAATATCTTCCTCGAGTCTTCTTTAGGCATAGTATAATTTTAACCTTTTAATTTTATACATCTCTTTTAAATTAATCGATGGTGTTTATAATGTTGTGTTCATTGATATATTATATAAAATAAAATGAGAAAATATATCTATATATAACTTTTACAAAATCGTTTATATATTTAATCTATCACCGTGTAGCCTTAAACCAAAATAACAAAATACAATTTATTTAAAGTTAATACATTACAGTTTTATTTTTCTGAGATATATTCTAGTACCATATGTGCCTAATTGATAAGACTAATTTTTTTTAATTTTTGGGGCCGGAACACTTTGGCGGCCATTTTTGGCGGCAAAGATTTTTTCGAGGGGCCAGGTTTGGGGACTTGGGGGGGGGGGGTGGCTACGTCCCTGATGTAATTATAATACACCTTAACGAATCTACACCTAATCCTAAAAAACGATATTAACATAAATTAATGATATTTAAATTTTTAGTAGTTCAAACTGATCATGAAGTGAATCAAAATATTAACCGACTTATCGTCTTGAGGGACAGTATTTTGTTAGGTACATCTCACAGTTCGATTTTTATTTCATCTCCAATCTAAAATTAAAAGGAAAATGATTTAATATTCTAAAGACGGCCTTTGCAAGTAGTTCAAATCTGATAAAGAAGTGATCTTTAAGTTTATCCCACAATTCAAATTTTATTCCGCCGCTTGTCTAAAATAAAAATAATTTGTCATTTCTCGCAAGCAATTTACTTATAACAGGAAAAATAGTTTTAAAGAGAAAACGCCCTATTAATAATTACTTAAACAATTGGCGAGACCTCGATCCAGGGTTTCCAGATCATTTTTGAATTGTGCTAAAATTCTTATTATATATCTTTATATGAGGGGGGGGGGCTGAAAGCCTTTTGAAATCCTATGGTCCATTTTGCTCTGCCTTCCACCAGCCCTCGGTGACATTCAATTTTGGTTTTATATATATATTATCGTCAATTTTTATTTCCCGGCAATTTGTTATTTTTACAATTTGAAATCATTTTTTAAGCAAATATTTTGAAATTTAAATATCTCATTTTATCGGAAATATTTTCTATCATGTTTGGAATACCTATCTTATGAATTATAGACATTTTTGCTATTAATCTTTGAGTAATTTTTAATTTATATTGAAAATTTAATATAAATTATAAGTCTAAAAGTTCATGGAAAAATTGTCTGAAATGGGTAGGTATTCCAAACATGACATACATTTTTGGTAAAATCAGATTTTTAAATTTTAAAAACTTGCTCAAAAAACGATTTAAAGTTGAAAAAATAACACATTGCCGGAAAAAACACATTGACGTTAACATATAATAACTTATTTTATAATTTGAAATTATGCAAACACGGATAATATATTAATTAAAAATTTGTTTATTCATTCTAACATATTGTATTTGGGATCCCCTGTTTTAAGTTTTTGAACAATCGAAAAGAAAAATATCAGAAATTAATCCCAGATTTAATTTTGAAATATTAATAAAATTTAAAAAGAATTTAAAATAAATGACTCTCAAGTGACAAGAAAATAATTTAAAAATGTGATACTGCATTCTATTGTAAATAAAAATAAAATGTTTATAAATTCTTCAAAATTAACATCTTTTACAGTATATTACTTTTATATAAAAAAATTGCAGATAAATTTAATATATAAATATTTATTTAATTATATTTTAATTGGGATTTAATTTTTTTGATAAATATTTGAGAGAATTATAAAAATTTTGACAGGTTATGCCAGGGGCGGACTGGCGACGTTATGGCCTCGTGGGCATTATTTTTATATTATGGGGGCTTCGCCCCCTCTCTTATTTTATGGGCTTTCGGCCGGGTTCCCTTAAATGGCTATATTTACCTCACGATTTACATTTTTAATAAAAATAGAATAATGACACGATTATCATATTTTTATTTAAAAAAATTGCACATCTAAAATTATTCATTGCATCTAAAAAAATATTCATTGTACATATATAATTTATATTAGATTTACAACGATATTACACTATAAAATAAAATCATATATCACGTGTTAAATATAAAATAATACATATTCAATATATAAAATCAATTAATTACACATAAAATTATTGCATTTATACAATTTTACACAGAGAATAAAATTGCTGCACTTATAAAATCAGGCACCTGTAAATAGATATAAACATGATTTAAATACAAGAATTAAGATAATATATACTTTTTACGTTAATAAATCTCTCATTAACTTTGAACCTTTGCGCAAATAAACAATATCTTCTAGTTCAATCTGCGCGAATAGCTCTCGTTCAACTGTCATCATTAAAAATGCTTCTAATTTTTCTTGGCCTATATTAGCTGGAGATCCCTATTTTTTATAATTTTTAATTTACTAAATGTTCTCTCGCAATTAACCTGCGTAAATGACAAAGTTAAAATGTATTCATATGCCCAAAATAAATTAGTGTATGCACTTGTGTGCATATTGTATCTTTTAAGAATTTCATACACGCATATTAAACACTTGTTACATTTATTATCACATTCTGAGTTATTTTCATATTGTAATATTCCTGATTTCTCATTGCTACATTCGATACCATAGTCCGTTTCATTTAATTCTACTATTAAATCTTTGAATACACTGGTAAATGAACACAATTCGTTACGTAATTTAACACTCAATATATTTGCCAATTCTGTTAGTTTTTCCAAGCCTTTTCAGAATTTACTATTTATTTCACAAAATTTGGATGCAAATATTGCACATTCAAAATAAGCTACTATTCGCAAAAAACTGTTCTGACAAATTATAATTTGATCAATTATAGGACGAAATACCTCGACCCTATAAAGTTCAATCTATTCTAAAGGACGTTCATCTTGGCCTTCATCACTATATATTCTATTCGCTCGTCCTGTTCGATCTTTTTATAGTCGTAAAATATTTTTACAAGATAGGAGGTTAATTTTAATAAAAAAAATAAGCCTGGAGCAAATATGATATATATTTTTATTAGTTTATATAAAATATAATAAATTACCTGTATATACATTAATATAAATGCATGCTAATAATTTATTCCAAACAAATATAAGAAATTTATTTATAATAAAAAGTAAGTAGACATTTAGTTGTATTCCTCTATTATATAGAATTGGTTACAAAATACTAGGTAAAATTCCACTTTTACAGACATATTTGACAGTTGGAGAATA